GAGAGAGAGAGAGATTAGATTAACTCCATGTAAATGAATGTAGGGCAACATTTCATCATCTTAGAACCAAATGACATTTGCCAAGTGAAACTTTTCCATGTCTCCGCACACATAATTTGTATGCATTTGGAGATCCACTGTTGTTCGATCTTAATTGAACAACTTGCTGTAAGTTGAGAACAATGCGACAAACTGGTGTCAGTCTTATCTATTTGATCAAGATTTGATAGTTGAGAGTGAACGAAGAACATTGTCATAAGCGGGTGTTTTTATTTATTTATCAAGTGATAGTAATGCATGGCATTATTGTTGGCTTACTCTCAACCGTCTGATCAAGATTAGATGATTGGATGTTTTTTGCCAATTAAATTATATGTTTGTAGAGATATAGAAAGTTCGACCTTTAGACAAGTGCAAAAGCAGAGGCTGCTATTCTTGGCTCTTCATACTTGAACTTGTTATTGACATAATAAGGGGGAAGAATAGCTTGATTATTACAAATAATAAGATTAATGTAGAGGTGTATCTATGGGGGATCTTTCTATGTTTCATTATATATATATATAATTTAGGGAAAATATCTTTGTATTTCCCAAAATGGAAAACACAATCCTTGTATCCCCGCCAATGCTCAAAATATCTTGCGACATTATCTTTCCCCAAAAAGTTTCTTCAAAGCCCCTAAAGCCTTCTTCCCCACGTCTTTTGTATTTAAGCACCATCCATTACCCCGTTTTTTTTTAATCCCATTGTTGCCCACTCTCTTTATTCCTTAAAAGCCTTCGTCTCTTCTCTCATTTTTCCCTTCTCTTTCTCTCTCCATCTCTCCCCCTACCTTTCTCTCTCTCGTACACCCTCTCCCCCCTAGCCACTCTCTCTTCACTTCCTAAGCCCACTGGTAATCCCCTCCTTACCTTCCTCTCTCTTTCTCTCGCCCCATCACTTCTCTCCTTTCTTTCTCTCTCACACCCTCATCGATCTTCAACAGAGAGAGAGGGGTTGGAGATGGATGAGGGTGTGAGAGAGATGGAAAGGAGAGAAGTGACGGGGGGAGAGAGTGAGAGAGGTTGGGGGAGAGATGGAAAGGAGAGAAGTGACGGGGGGAGAGAGTGAGAGAGGTTGGGGGAGAGATGGCGTAAGAGAGAGATAAGCGGAAATGAAAGAAGAGACTGAGGCCTTGGGAATAAAGAAGGTGGGCTGCAATGGGATTAAATTTTTTTTTAGGGCAATGAATGATGTCTAAAAACACCAAATGTTGAGTGGAAGGCTTTAGGAGCTTGAAGAAACTTTTTGAGAGAAGTTAATGCTGCAAGATATTTTAAAACTTAGAAGGAATACTAGGATAGTGCTTTCTATTTTGAGGTGTTTGGAGATATTTATACTTTATAGTATCTAGAGATATCTAGCCGTTCAATCATAATCAAATGGCTAGAAGTGAGTCAATAATAATGTCACGCATTAATATGGTATGACAAATACAAGTGGCACTAATTTGTGATATTATTCTCAGTTTTATCTCAGCTATCCGATCTTGATCGGACAATCGGGAGTGGCACCAATCTGTGATATGTTCTTAATTTATCATCAGCCATCTGATCAAGATCAGATAGCTATGAGTCTCAAAACACATATAAATTATGTGTGTAGAGACACGGAAACATTTTACTTGATAAATGCCTATTGGTACTAAGATGATGAAATGTCACCCCACATTCATTTATAGAGTTCATCTAGTATCTTTTTCTATCTCAACTTAGTTGAATTTCTGATTGAAATCATCCCTAACCCATGTTAAATTAATTATTTGCTTGATGCTTACCTAAAACATATCTGATATCTTAATCTGTGATAAATCCCTTCTCTTTATTTCCAATCTATAAATCTTATTATTAGCAGTAAAAGTTTTCCTTTTAAGCTTTAGACAATTTAACTCTCATCATGGAAGCTCTTAGAAAATTTGAATTCAATTTCCTCGAGGATTAGACATGATATTCACCCATAAATGATTAGAAATGTTTTTTCTCACTCGCCATGCCCTTCTTTTTCCTTGTATTAAAAGGTTAGATAATTGGATTACCTTTAAAAGCTAAGACAATTTAACTCTCTTTGGATGGTGAAACAGTTTGATTATTGTCTCATTGCCTCTTTTTCCACTTCTATTAAAAGTTTGGACAATTTGATTCTCTCTCCATTATGACTTTTCGCTTTTCATTAAAATAAAGAACGTAAATATTTCACTTATCTCTTGGAACTTTAAACAATTTGATTTGTTCTCATTTATTGTTTTTCTACTTCTATTAAAATCTTATACAACTTGCCTCCCTCTCCTTCTTTTGATTCTCTCTGTCATAGTGTTGAAAAAATTGACTGTCTCTGCGCCTAGGTGGCCAAGGCCCTAGGAGCATTGCCTAGACCAGCGAGCACCTAAGGCCGAGGGTTCTCTAGGCTTCTCTTGCTTTACTTCTCTTTCACATTCTCTGGAGAAATGCCCTCATTTCTCTCTGTAGAAAAGTTGTCTTTTCCTTTTCCTTGCGTGTAAAAGGAAATTCCTTTTCCCCCTTTCTCATTACTTGTAGGGCCTGTTTGATAACTGGAAGCGGAACCTCCTGGGAGATGGAAGATCTGTCTCCATGGACTTTGGAACCTCCTGAGTTTTGGAACTGGCAAATACCGTGTTTGATAAGCTACTTGGAATTTTTGGAAGTCTGGGAACCTGTGTTTGATAAGTTGTCTGGAATTTTTTGGGAGTCTGGGAAGCTTTCTCCTTTTTTTTTGGGTAAGTCAGTGGCTACCTGTTTTTTCATGAATAAGTGAGCAGAGAACAATAGTTATCGTACAACCCTATAATAGGGCAGTTGCGCCAGATCATGTAATAAAAGAGAAGAACGAAAGTCTGGTGGTCTGAGAAGCTGTCTCCATTCTCACTATTTGCACATATTTTTTGCATGACATTTTATTGAAAAGTTTATATGTTTATTTATTATTATCTCATATGGCATATTAGACAATACTCTTTTGTGAATAGCTCCATTTGGTAAACATTACTCTTACAATCTCTCTCTCTCTCTCTCTCTCTCTCTCTCTCTCTCTCTCTCGTTGACATATGAATTCGAACTTTGCATATTTCTATTATGTCACAGGAACATCCATCCACAATAAATGATAATCTCATGAACACTACTATCATATGCTGCATTCAACTCCACATCATATATATGGTTCTGCAAAGTGTATAAAAAGGAGTTCAAGAACAATCAACCACAACTTACACATCCCAAAAATACTCCATTAATACTTAAGGCACACAACCATAACCTGTAGTCACTTGGCCATCACAAGTTTACCATAGTAACAAGTTCATCAAATAGATGGAGTATGATTTTATAAACAAATAAACAAATACTAGCTGTTGGGGTTGCAGGTGTTGGTGTGTTTGAATGATGAGAATCCATTCCTCTATGACATAAGCACATGCATAAGGTCTACCATACTTCTTAAACAGTCTCAACTGAGATTGGATATTGAGCTATTGCCTATTTCCACAGACAAGCCACAGGGCTTATTCACTGTCAAAACATATGGAGTATGATTTTATAAACAATCCAAACATTAATACTTAAGGCATACAGCCATAACCTGTAGTCACTTGGCCATCACAAGTTTATCATACTAACAAGCTCATCAAAGTAGATGGAGTATGATTTTATAAATAAATAAACAAATTCTAGCTGTTGAGGTTGCACGTGGTGGTGTGTTTGAATGATGAGAATCCATTCCTCTATGACATAAGCACATGCATAAGGTGTACCATACTTCTTAAACAGTCTCAACTGAGATTGGATATAGAGCTATCGCCTATTTGACAGGCAAGCCACAGGGCTTATTCACTGTCAAAATATATGGGGTATAATTTTATAAACAATCCAACAAATGCTTCATGGGGGTTGCATATTTGGAAAGAAACTCAAAGACTGCTTTTTTTTTTTTAAGTTAAGATCTAGATTTATGTATTTATGTATGAGCACTTCACATATGAATTTCTAGCATCATGCAACCCAAGAGTTGTTAAGGCTGCCAAAAGCTCTATGGTTGCTATAGTTTCTACATCAAAACATGAATCTTCACAATAATACTTCGTTATCAACATTATTTGCAAGAAATTTGTAATCTGTTATCATGATTCCAGGTAATTCCTAAGCTTGGCTTGTTGCGGAGCAAATGTTTGTGACCAAAATGAGACTTTTGAAGTTTATTGTTATGAATCATTTGTATGAAAATACAAAGTTCAAAATCTGATGTTCATGTTATGAACACAAGAAGTCATAATTCGCGAACATTCATCATTCATTGACATAAAACTAACTAATGAACACTTCAACCATTCAAACGTAGCAGTCAACCATTCAAACAAGTTCAAATCGTAAGTCCAAAAATAGCAGCCACAATGTATGATCAATTTTGTGTTGATAACATCAAACAATTGATCCATTTTTGTTGATCGAATTGATTTCAGATCATATATAAATGATCAACATAATCAGATCAAGTTTATGCATTTAAACATCATCAAAATTCATTTGAATGGTTCAAAACGAATTTGTGAATAATCATTTGGCAAGGGATATGTGATGGCTGAGGACGTTCTCATTTACGCATGTAGCTGGTTTTGCTGGCCGGATGCTGGGGGTGTACACAACATCAAAAGCCACGATGACCTATAAATATTAAATCATGAGGTAGTTTGTGAATGAAGGCATGCCCTGCACTCCGTTGAGCGTTTTTCATTAAGTAGGGGATCTGGAGGAATGACCATTTGGCTGTAAATCGTCAGATTCCTTGCTTTTCGAGAGCGGCCTCCATTCCCTAAAGAGAGTGCTGATCAACGTATTTCCAAATGGAGACTTGAAATATGGTTGATGTGATTAGGATACCCATTGTTAAACTTTACCAATTGGAGGATAGGATGATGCTGAGAAGGTTGTGAGGCTCTTCTGCCCCAATTGATTGCGATTTCATCTTACTTTGGTCTCATTTCTGAGACCAAGACCGGGGTACATTGAAAAGGCAGTACGATGAGACCAAGACCGGGGTACATTGAAAAGGCAGTACAAGCAGTCGGTTTAGGGTTGCAATTGGCCACATCCAACCAGTTGAGCCAAGGGCCAAAGTTTTGGAACTTAGGACCTTTTTTCAGTAATTATGCCTCATTGTCTGCTGCCTCTTCCAGCAAGAAGATTCCCCTTGAAGAAACGTGGCAAGGGCTTGATAGGTAAGGGAACTATAAGGAAGTGGTAGTCTTGTATGGCATCACTATTGAGCAGTGCTGCAGATGGAGGGAGGGACTTGAAAGGAATTTTATGAACAGATACTTCCTTTAGAATCATGTGGGAATTTATGTATTCATGAAGTTCCTTTCACGTCCATGTTGGGCATCAATTTGTAGATTTCTTGCACTGTTTCTTTCCTTCTTTATAGCCAAAATTTTTGTCAAAATATAACTACAGAGTGGCCAAGTGTCAAAATTGTGCTCTGGTTTGGTCATAAACATTTGTAAAGAAGCATTTGCGAATACAAAAACATTTGCAGAGAAGCACCCTTTTCAAGTTTAGCGTTCAACTGAAAATGAGAAATTGCATGGGCCTCCAGATTGGGAGGTCGAACCCGTCACCTATTAGACCAACTGGATTGCCAATTTGGCCTTGATCGGACCGGTGAGAAATGGCCTTGAAAAAATTATAATTTGAATTTGAAAATTTTCAATATAAAAAATATTGAAAAAAAAAAAGATGCGTGGGAACTGACCTGATCGAGATGCCTATTATTTGATAGAACTGGGTGAGTTTATCAAACTTACCAATTCCCGATTCTGCCAAGCAACTAGGTCAGTGCACACAAATTCTCTGTCTGATGCAATTTTTAAAACAATATTGATGATTATCATCAATATTCTATCTCTGTTATCTCAAAGCTTGCTTCCTTGTTTTTTTGGGGTAAATGATGGCACTTTTCCACTACTGATCCCTATAAGCATATTCTCATAAATTTAAATGAACTGATCTCCCATAAACTTAAGGAACTTCCCTTACTTTTTTTTTGATAGGTTACAACACAGCACTAAACCAGAGAAAGAGAGCCATGGTTGAGCCTGAAGTTCCATCATCTTTCTCATCAGAGAATCATAAGGTTCAAGAAGAGGAAGTAGGGTTTTACCCTAATTTGTCGTCTGCATCAAACCGTGTTCGAAGGCTATTGTTCAGGAAAATGCTCATTGGAGTGAGTGATGGGCGCTTCTTTGTTGGGGGTTTCCATTGTTTGGATAAGCAAGGCAACATTATACTCCAAGATGCAGTCGAGTTCAGGCCTGGACATAGCACCAGGCCTTCTCCCGTGGAGCAACGTTGCTTAGGGCTTGTGCTAATACCTTCTTCTTGCCGAATTTCTTGCCATGTCGATTTTTCTATTGAAGAACAGATGTCTCTTTTAAAGTTATAATATTTGAGAGAGCTGAAAGGGCCTGTAGCAGGATGTGTATGCTAAAAAGGTATTAATAGGATTTAATTGTTTTTCTTGCTGAACTTGTAGGATTTTGGTGCAAATTTGTTTCTTGTGCATTGTTGTTGTCAGCTTCACAACATTCCGGGAGAGAAGCTAACGAGTTGGTGGTTTCCCTTGCTAAGGATGGTGTCCATGGGTCATCACTTATGATTTTTGCTATCACTGTATAGAGGCTTTACAGGCAATTCCTTCTATCAAATTTTGAATCCATGAAATAAGAAAAAAGAAGTTAAAAAACTTCGAAAGGTCGCTGAGGATAATTAGCCCAAATTACCATTTTAGCCGTCGAAATTTAGTTGACATTGTTAGTAATATTAACTTATGTGACATTAGGTATGTATGTTTCTTTCTTTGGACTCTGGTTGTATGCATGGTATGTTTGTTTTTCCTGAGATAGTTGATACTTTGCCCAAATTTTAGCCCTGGGCCTCTTTTTCTTTGTGGTGATAGCAGCCCTATTCAAGCAATCTAGGTCAATCTAAATATTTTGTTTCTCTTTATCAATTGTATAAATTGCTACAATTGCATAAATTGCTTCATATGTCTGGGTTAACTTGAACTGCTGTTCATATAATCTTATTTATGCCCATTTTGGCTCTAATGTTCTTTTTTTTCTGTAACTATAATTCTCAGCCCAAAACTGTATGTGTCGATATTTATGTAGAGTTTTTTATTAATGGAACGTCTATCAATAAAAGTCTACATCAAGTTGTATCACAGGCGTAGAACGGGTTGTAGTTAGAATTAAATGATTAAAGCATGTTATCACCATAACAGAAAGCCTTATTCGTAAGGAATCAATTTCACAATTCAATCTGGTTCGCAAATCAGTCTCCCTAATTAACAGATCGATGAATGTCACGAAATGGAATTTTCTCCGAGTGGGACACTGATAATCTCCCGCATGATGCCTGCAATCATTGTCTAACATTTCTTTTATCGCCACAACTAATGACAGCATATGAGGTGCCTTCTATTCCTAACGGTGTGCTAAGACTGAAAACTAATCTATGCAGCAAGTTAATAAGGAACTAAGGATTTGCAGCCCTACAGGATGGTGACTGAGTTCAGCAGAAACACATGGCACGTCCAGAAGCAGCCCCAAACAGCCCTCTCGAAGGAACAACAAGGAAGGATCTAGGCAACGGACGCAGCCCCAAACAGCCGTCTCGAAGGAACAAGAAGGAAGGATTTAGGCAAACCGACAAGTCCTATAGGTCCACACAAGATAAAAGACTTGAAGATACCGGAATCCTTAGTGTTGGAATGCTTGGCTGTGGATGTTTTTCCAATAGTTTCAATCCAAAAGTAGCATAACTAGGTTGGGATATCCCAAATGAAACATGATGGTCATGTGTGCTGCAGGATTCTTCGTAACTGAATGGAAAAGGTCCACGAAAAATAAGTACGTCACTAAGCTTTTATAGACGCCTATTAGAAGCATATTCATGGCAATTGCTGTGTACTAAATTCTTTAGGACAAAAAGGAGAACAAATAGAAACACATGATGCCTCTGTAATCCAACCCATATTCATATCAAGCTTTGCTTTATCTGTGTGCTGATTATCATGTAGAGTCCGGTTGTTGAAATGTGCATTTATTGTTTTCTACAGGTCTTGCATGAAGAGATCCATTTGCAGACATTCCAGTTTCTCGCTTAGCATCAGAAAACTCTGATGATAGTCAAATTTTCCTTTTTCTATTCGCCAATAGGTTTGACCATGTTACTGATCTGCTTCTTTGGGCCGACTCTACTCCATAACCTCAAGAAAATTTCGATTGCATATGAGGTGACCAGGTGATCAGTAATGTCCTGTCCTACTGAGAAAACTAGCTTACTTCATTGGTAACAGTTACTCTCTTGAATTGTCTGAATAAATTGTGGGTTTGAGTGTAATTACGGAACGTGGTCCTGAAAATTGAACAATTTTGTTTCCTTGTCGGTGTTGCCGAAATATACTTGATTAATGTAAGAATGTTCGTGAGTTTAAATCTTCGCCTCAGAATCATCTTGTGGAAGTTCTTTTTGTTTTGCACTCAAGAGAGACATCAAAATCTTTTCATCACACTCACAAATATGGGAATTGAAAGTTGTCTTCCTTTAGAAATTGTCTTTCTTTTTTTGGCAAAGAAGCATTCACTCTTTTCAAGTTTTAACTTTCAACCGAAAATGAAAAATTTGCATGGGTCTCTTTTTTGGGATGAACATTTGATGTAGGGTATATGAATTACCCGTATGGGATCAGCATTACAAAAACACATTGACACTAGACCACTGTCAGAGATCCACGGTCAAACAGTTGGCTGAGAAAGTTAGGAACCTAGTGGCCTTCTAAGCCACCAATCACAAGCTCTTCAAGGAGTTCTCCTTCACTGATTCTGCAACTAGTTGAATTTGATGCAACTAGCCTGTCCTACAATCTCGCAGGCCTCATTGTGGACACCACCTGAATCAGGATCTATTAAGCTCAATTTTGATGGTTGCTCCGATCGCAACCGAGGACCTTCCGGAATAGGGGGTCTCTTTCCATCTAGTGAAGGTGCCCCATGGGACTGGGACTTAACTCTTGCTTAGGCCCTTGCCCTCTTGGAGAGCCTTCGCAAGTTTGACCACACCTGGAGTCCTGACGTAGTGGTCGAGGGAGACCAAGAACACTTGGGCATCTCAACTCCTACTGTAGCCTTGGCGTCTCAACAACATTTTTTACGAGATGTCACGTATAACCTGTGGCTACAGAATTTCTTGGTGCCATGCCTACAAAGAAGCCAACTCGATTCCCTCAAGAGGGGGCCTATTCCAATTATTACCCATTGGGGACCAGGTTTTCGTGACCACCCATTTCTTTCCTGCTCTCAGAGTTGCTTTTTCGCATTGTAAACCCCTTTGGACACTTTTGGGTCACCATATTTTTTTGTACAATCTATTATTCAGTAATGAAATTATAGTGAATCTTCTCAAAAAAAGGTATTGAGACTGGAGGTTCATTCCACATGCCTCTCTTTTCTTTCTAATGCCTGTTATATTCAAACTATCAGGCCTCTCTCTCAACCCAACTGCATCCAGCATCTTTAGATACACCTTTCTCTCTCATTAACTCTCGTACTTTAGACACACCCTCCCATCTCCCGGCAGCCGCAAATGTATTTGACAAACCAACATAAGACCCTGGCCTGGCCGCATTCAGCTTGAAGAGCTCTTCTGCTGCTAGGCTTGCCATCTCGACATTTCCATGGATGCCACAAGCCCCTAGCAATGCACCCCATACATCATCATTTGGCTCAACTGGCATTTTTCTTATAAAACACAATGCCTCATCCAAAAGCCCTGCTCTCCCTAGAATATCTACCATACAAGCATAGTGCTCGACCTTGGGCTCGAGCCCATACTCTTCTCTCATGCTCATGAATACTTGCCACCCTTCTTGGGTAAGTCCGGTGTGGCCACATGCGGAGAGCATGCTAAGAAATGTTACATGATTTGGCTGAATACCGAACTTCAGCATTTTCTCATAGAGCCGCAAGGCTTCATTCGTGTCTCCATGCTTTCCATACCCATCAATTATCGCAGTCCACGATACGATATTCTTGTGAGGCATCTTATCAAACACCCTTCTTGATTCCAAAATTTCCCCACATTTTGCGTACATGTCGATCAAAGCACTATTAGAACGAACATCATGGCGTGAGTCGCTCTTAATAACTTGTGCATGGATCATTTGCCCTTGTTCTAAGGCAGACAATATAATGCACGCTCCAATTATACTAGAGAATGTCGAAACAGTAGGTCGAAATCCTGACCGTTGCATCTCAACATAAGCCGTCAATGATTTCAAAGCGTAATTTGGATGACTGCTATAACCCTCTATGAGGGCATTCCATGCCACTACATCTTTCTCATGGATGCCGTCAAATATTTCATGGGCCTCATTGGGGCATGCACATCTCATGTACCCATGAATCATGGCTGTACAAGAGACCACATTTCTTTCAGGCATCTCACTAAAGACTTTTCTAGCACATGATATGCTGTCACTTTTCGAATACATGTCTATCAATGCAGTGTAGAGAACCTCATCTGACTGAAACCCGTTCTTGGTTATCTGTGTGTGAACTTGTTTTCCAAGACCCAAATCGTGGATAAGCGCCGAGACCCTCAAAATGCTGGCATATGTGAAACCATCAAACTTTAGGCCAGAATTAGCCATTTGTGAAATGAAATTCAGAGTTTTTTCTGCTGGTCCATTTCTTGAATAACATGATATCATTGCATTCCATGATTCGATTGTCGGTTCATGGATTTTGTCAAACATTTGTCGAGCATATTTCAAATTGTTCGACTTAACATAAAGAATGAGAAGCTTGGTGGATAAATAAATGTCTGGTTTGAAACCTGCCTTTACAATAAAAGCATGCAGAGTTTGTCCTTCTAAATGGGCATTTGAGTCAATGTAACTCTGTAGAGCACAAGACAAACCAGTGGAGTTCAGTTTCAGAGATGAAAATAATCTGGTGGTAATGAGATTTACAATCCCATATCTCATCTTTCTTTATATCAATCAAATCTGTCCTTCTCTCTTATTTTAAATAAGGGAAGGTGAATTGGAGAGTGGAGCTTATCCATTAAATTGGTGTTTTCCCCTTCAAATTTTGATATCTTCAATGAAAATCAGCTCAAATTGTTACACCCAAGTTTGGGAACCTGGATAAATTCATCCCCCAGGACTCTGGAGATGAACATCAGTCCATCCCCACCGTCCGTGTTGAGAAAGGATGGTGATGCCTCAGTGATGTAACGTGTATTATGAGGAAGAGTGCATGATGCAAGTTTTTAGCTCAACCACGTTGAGGGAATCGGTAAGTCTTGAATCGAGTTGGAGTGCTGGAACTTGCCGTCGACTTCGTTCCAAAATAATGAATTGAGCCTGACCCGAGAAGGTTTGAGAGAGAATCAGGGGAAAGAGGAGCAAAATTTGATAGGAAAAGTTTGAGAGAGAGAGAGAGAGGAGAAGAGAAATTTTGAATGGGAAGATTAGAGAGAGAACAAAGGGGAAGGGAAGATATTTACTATTTTTCAACTGGCGTATTAAAGGGTGATGTCTGTACGAGCTTGAGGCCTAAAGAATCACGCCTTTAAAATCTTTATGAGGACCTGAAAATTTATTTTTATCCCTAATTATAAAATTTAAGGTTTTAAAAAAAGTATAGATCAGATATATGAACACTTGAAAATATTGAAAATTGATGGTCTAGATGATGTATTACAAGATGTATTATTTTCAAAATTTGAAATCCACGTTTTTTTTGACATCCATGTATCTTAGGTTAGGTTGATTGGATTTGAAGGATTTTCATTATCGAAACAACTTCTTCCAATAAATTTTTTGAGGTACGTCTTAGCTTGATTGTTTTGAGCCTCAAACTTACATAAACTTTTTCCATTACAGAAAGAACATTGAACTGGGGATCCCATAATTTTCCCTAAAGATTAGCAAACTGCCAAGAGATCATAATAACGCAGGTGAGGTGCATTGCATTGGCTGCCACATATTTTCTTCCAAACTCAATGATTTATAGAAGGATTTTTCTGCCGTTCATAACCTTTTTTTTGATGAAGTTTATGAAAATTTTAATAATAGAAAAAGATAATAACTAAGGTGGAGAAACAAATGCACCTTCCCAACCTTTCCATTTGCTAAATCATCCGCCTCCATTCCCAATAAACATGAAAAAAAAAAAATGAAGTATTCTTTCTCTTACACATATCGATAACTTTGAACCAAATAAATTTCAAAGTCAAAGGAACTTTCCTCATTTAATTAATAATATTCAAAGACTCACCCTCTATCTCTACAATATTTCCCAAGCCATAATTGATGATAATACCTACTCCAGTCAATAAAGATCCAAGCTCCACCGGAAAAAAGTTTACGTAAGGATGCAACCTTATACTGTAGAACTACAGATGCACCTCAAAAATCCATCAGAAAAAGGTAGTTTTAATGTTAAAAAACCCTTTGATTGATCATCTCGACATCGTCGAGATATATGACCATGAAAAATAAAAAAATTTTAAGTCTAAAAAATAGTGCATTTTACAACATATTATCTATACCGTCCATTTTCAAGATTTTCATATGTTTATAGATCTATTTGATTTTAACCATTTTTGAAATTTAAAATTTTATAATTAGATATAAAAATAAATTTTGAGATAATCCTAAAAACATTTTACGTGAAAATTATATACCATGATGAAATTTGAAGGTGCGCCTTACCTCTACAGCTTCAGATGCATCTGATGCCAACGACACCCTCTACTGAAACTTCCCCACGTGGCCCGATGCAAGTGGCAGGAATAGAACATGTGCGGTCCCTAACTAACCCACCAACATCAGCAGGCCAAGAATGCCAACTGAGCTACAATCAAAAATCATTTTTATTAATAGACTTTTCCAATCCCTAACAAGCTTTCCTTTAGCATGCCCAATTCCATAATTTCATTAAGATTTTAAACAATCCAACAAGGCACATGTCCAAATTTTATTATAGCATGTAATTTTGGTGTAAACAATTTTTAGGATTATCTGAAAATCTATTTTTATCTTAATTATAAAATTTTAAAGTCAAAATCAAATAGATCTATAAACTTTTTGAAAATGGACGGTCAAGGTAATGTGTTACAAGACAATATTTATGGCACTCTTCGTTTTTTTTCATATTCATACATCTCAATGTCAAGATGATCAATTACAAGGTTTTTCAACATTAAAATAACATTTTCCAATGAATTATTTCTTTAATTCTACAATTTGGTTGCAACCTTATAGAAAATTTTTAAACTGTAGATCAAATCTAGACAAACCTAACATTCCTCACTCACCAAAGCCAAGCCAAACTCTTCCTTTTAATATTTTCCTCACTCTCCTTCAAAAACCCTCCCTTTTTTTTTCCCTTCCACACTTGCCACAGTAATGCAGCCCAAAAACTTTTCCAAATAACTTAACCTACCTTTGGTTACAAAGGGAGATTCATCATAATCAAAGCCTTTTCCCAACACCCGTATTGTCAAATGGAAATCCAAAACTAAGGCCCTACCCCATTGTATGCAACAAGTTACTTGGATTCAGTTCCTGCTATTCAATGTTCATCGGCATATCTCTCTCTCTCTCTCTCTCTCTCTCTCTCTTTCCCCTACTCCATTCCGAAAGTAAAGTAACTGGTGACATACAGATGCATAACAATCTCTCTCTCTCTCTTACCCCCTAGTTCATTCCGAAAGTAAAGCAACTGGTTACATACAGATGCATAACAATCTCTCTCTCTCTCTCTTCCCCCCCTAGTTCATTAGATGCATAACAATCTCTCTCTCTCTCTTCCCCCCCTAGTTCATTAGATGCATAACAATCTCTCTCTCTCTCTTCCCCCCCTAGTTCATTCCGAAAGTAAAGCAACTGGAGACATAGGCATGAATCTTATCAGCGAGCATGTAAGTACATTGGATAGTTTAATTCCAGACAAAATAAATTCATGGACGCAAGAAGTAACACCATCCATGGATGTTATACTGAAAAATCCAAATCAGATCTCTCCATTTAATTTTTGGGATTTGATGTTCACATCTTTGAACTTCAACAAAAGCTTGATCAAGTCACACAGACAGTTGAGATCAACTTCGATGCCACATGTAAACCGCTCCACTCCCTGCCTATTATGTGGTCTAATGGAGTAGAGTACAAAAGAGGAACATGCTCCAAAGATCATCCCATCACATGTGTGTTCTTCAAACACATGCAGGGTCTTCAAGTCCTTAAAATGAAATTTCAAAGAGTTCCCAGTTCCAATCCACTCAGATGCCAATATTGATTGAGCTTCTCAAAGATGTCTATGAACTGAACATGAAAACATAATGTATCAAAATTGACATGAACCATATCATATGACATTTCTCCCAAAAATATAATGTCAAATTAAACATACCTGGACATTTTGCAGTTCATGGATTGAACTGGAGATGGAAACACTTACTGCAAGAACTTTTGCTTAAAAGATCTCAGTGAACCAGATTCCATAGGAGATCAGCCTATCACTGCCATTTTGCCACAGATGTAACAGTTACATCAGAGGATCTTCAGGTTGAGGTTACGTTCATGCCACCATCATTCATCTGATTCTTTGAAGGTCTTTCTGGGGAATGATACTGTATATTTCAGGCTTTCTTTTTCTGTCACTCATCCCAATTTTCTCCTGCTTTGATTCTGACACGTTCTCCATTGAAATGGATATATTTCAATTTCAAGCCATATTTCTGCAACACTTGCTTCTGCTTCTCCTCCTCGCCCAATTGCTGGAATGCACGTGCAACTCTTCTCACAGAGTCTTGATCTGGTTTCACCCCTAATTCTTCCATGTCAGCAAAAACCTAAGAAAATTAAACACATTTGTTAGAATTGTGAAGAGATTTCACGCCTTTGGAACACAGGCCACACACAGAATTAATAGTGTGTAACATTGCTAGAATAGATCGTCAGGTTCAAATAAAACAGAAAACAATGTGATTGACATCCCTAATCATGAATTTCAACAAGGTCATCCATTCACCATGATGTGTCAATGGATGTTGTGTATTTCCATTTATAAGATGGTCATTTTATCTCTTTTCTTCTTTTTGAGGATTAAACTGATTTTTGTATTATGATAAAGAGGTGTACAACTTGCGTATGGCTGTGTCTGTGCAGAATGGAACAGCCAAAACCCATAAAAGAACAAAGTTTCTTACATTGGAATAAACAAAAAAGTCATGCTTAGGACTACGGTCTGTTTACTATGAAACTATGGTCAACAGCCCCTTCTTTAGGGAGTGTATCCACTGCTTCGTTTACCTCGCACCAGGAATGCTTGTGAAAAATCTGTAGATTGCAGGAAATTGCAAAGTTCTGGTTGAACAGCTGTTCTAGGTACCAGGGACATCGGGCATGGATAGCAACTTTATCTCGGTTATAGCCATTGCGATCAGCATAATCTTTTAATCTTTTACGGATATGCTAATACATTTTTGCTAATTGTAATTATATACATGAGGTTTATCCCTCAGGATTAAATGGGCCTGCTTTTCACATTACCAAATTTATACGACTCTTGACATGGTATCGGACCAATTCTATCATGTAGAACAACGGTTTAATGTGTACATCCTCAAAAAACATGTACCAATTCCTCTAGGGAATAGCTTGTGGGTGTATGTCTTGATAATCCTGTGTATTTAGCTCATCAGAGGCAATAAGGCATTAATTCTTTATCGGAAGGCTTGTCCCTCCCTGTTTTCCTTTTCCTCCATTATATCTACCAATGATCTACAGGCTGTTGCTCCTCTTTATGAACTGTTTATATAAAGAAAATAAACTAGAAACAAGCAGACCTTAATCATACCCTTCAAGTTCAAGCTGCAATCATATTGTTTACAATTTCATGTTGGGTGTAACATTCCACAACATTATATGGCATAAGATGTGCACCATTTATTCTACTATGAAGTGCAAATTAGTAATTGGGAATAATCTTGTGTATCTTGTATGTCTTGATAATCTTGTGTATCTTGTATGTCTTGATAATCTTGTGTATTTAACTCATCAGAGGCAATAAGGCATTAATTCTTTATTGGAAAGCTTGTCCCTACCTGTTTTCCTTTTCCTCCATTGTATCTATCAATGATCTACAGGCTGTTGCTCCTCTTAGGAACTGTTTATATAAAGAAAATAAACTAGAACCAAGCAGACCTTAATCATACCCTTCAATTTCAAGCTTCGATCGTATTGTTTAAATTTTCATGTTGGGTGTAAAAGTCCATAACATTACATGGCATAAGATGTGTACCATTTATTCTACTGTGAAGTGCCAATTAGTAATTGGGAATAACCTTAACTTGGACTAATCATTTACAAGGTAACAGGAAAGTCCTAAGTGTATGTTTTAGCTGAATTTTGCATTTCATTTTCTTCTATTTTGATGTGCTATCAAGCCTACATTTTCTATGTTTGCGTTAATTTCCTTTTAAGTTTACTTCTTTTCATTGCTGAGAGCCACCAAGCATTTCTCTGAAGTTTCTTGCAGGGTTTTGAATGTCAACGACTGCAGCATATTTACTCACTCCAACCCTTATTTTGTGAAGTTCAATTCCTAAAAAAGATAAAATCTTAGATCATTAGATTTATTGCAGTGTTTCAAAAGGTTTTGATGCCCGCCTAGGCATTCTGGGGGCCTGACCACATAGGGCAGGGACTATTAATTAAGATAAAAGTTATATTATAATTATTATTTTTTAATTAATATCTATAAGATTTGGTTTTGGATATCAGATATTCACAAAATATCAATTTCATCCAAAGTTTATGACCATTCACAAAATATAAGTCCAAGTCGATAAATGTTCCATCTACAAAATATGTAAAAATATAAAAAAAGTAAAACAAAGCTAATAGGATATCAAAACATCACACATTGTACAAGATGAGAACCAATTATTCATAAAAGTAATCAATATAGGACCAATTTCATCGTCCCAACGAGTTAATAATCAATTAATCACAAAAAAAATCAATCTTTCAACTACAAAAGTGTAAATATATCATAAAAAGAAAAAAAAGCTAAAAAAAAGAAAAATCAAAGGATTCAAAACATAATACATTATAACAAGAAAACTCAAAATGTTATCATAATGGCATAAACCTCATCTATTCGATCGCCAAAAGTCCTCACTATTGACCATTAGAAGCTCAGAAAAGTACCACGAAGCATTGCCTTTGATTTTGGAAGAAATAAAAAATTTACTGATCTTTCGATATATCACAAAATAAAGGTTTTTGGGGAGTTCTTTCTCTCTAGATGGCACCGATTTGGTTTTGGGGGTTTAGAATGTCCCCCAAAACCCTTCCCCCCCACCTCCCCCCCTTCTAAAGGGGGGAGGGGGGATTACTATTTTTTACCGTATTCCGCCCTCGGCAACCTATGTCAAGGCGGCACCTAGGTGGCTGCCTTGACTGTAGTGCCTAAATGCAAGCCGCCTAGGTTCCGCCTAGGCGTTTTATGCAACAAGCAGCCTAGGCAGTTGGGCGGCCGAATTTTCAAACATTGATTCATTGATAATTTGGTTCAGCTAGGAGTCCCCTAAAACAGGTATCCACTCTTGAAACTAATATGAATGTAGGCGAGAGAAATCTCAAGTTTTCATTTATAACTAAGAATGTTTTATACATATATAAATTCTGGAATCTCTCAAATATTCACGTGGTCATTCTGACCCTCAGATATAACTTGCTGGTTGGAAGTTCCTTGTGTGATCAAAGATCTTGCATGTTTCCGGAAATTTAAAATAAAAACTGCACCCAATGCATGACATTCATTATGAGAGAAAAGGGCGGACAGTGAAAAGATAAAAACTATCCGTACTCATAGGTGTTCACTTTGTACCTCTAAGAGCTTATCAGGAATGTGGTGATGATCATATAGAGACATCATCCGAGAAAATAAGCGCTTTGAGATCGAGCGTGTATATGTGTGCAATATCATATTCCAAATAGTTTCAGCTTCATCAACCCTCCCATCCATATCAAATGCCAATAATAGGGTATCGTATGTTCCCATTGTCAATACTTGACCTTTGGACAGCAACCATTTAGAAACCTATAAAAAGCTCAACTCATGGTACATAAGTGAAAGATTCCCTGTCCAGCAGTATTAGCAATGTGCAATTTATACACCATGTTAAAAAGATCCGTTCATAAACATATACTCAACTGCATTGGATTGCTCATTCAGATTCTGACTAGATAAAGCTTAAGAAGTTTGATGCACAGCATGTACGACAGTTTCAAAGAGAAATATGTAACAAATAAACTCGAAAGACAAGTGAGAGAAGAAAACTGTAAATGGAAGTGCACGATGGAACTGATCCATATTCTCTTTTGCAAATAGCATACTCAAAAAATCATTCAAAATGATCAATCAATTTTCAAAAAAGGATCTAGTAAAATATAAATTCACAGAATGGGAAAGTACTGCAAAACCATGCAAATGGTTAAAAAAAAATAAGGCATAAAAGGAAAAACCATAATGACACAGCTTGAATGAATTAAATATGGACAAAAACGAAAACCTTACAGCTGCCATAAACATACAGTACACCAGGAAAGGACAGAGGAGGCAGGAGGTGCCTTATTGTTCAAAAATAATTGAGAAGGGCAATACAGACTCTCTAAATGAAAGGATAAATAGAACAGTATGATAGGAGACAGACATAGCATAAGCATTGGACATCATACAGCTCAACATGTAAGAGGAACCAGATATACGAAGGATCTTAGGCATTGTTGGGGTGAAATGTACATCCAATCAAACTACAAATAAATGTGTTAGCTGATGATAACAATGTTTAAGCTAGCAAATTTCTGAGTGCACCCCTCAAACCCTATGTGCCATTGGAAGTTGAGTTTTCATTCTTCATATCCTTCAATTCATTATCTTTGTTGAAGTTTGAACCAACACAAGCCTCCCTTTAGTTTTCAATAAAACTCTGTTAAGTGTGACTCCATGGATACTAGACAAAAATCAAGGACATTCATCTACTAGATGAAAATCTAGGAAATTCTTCATTCTAGGAACCACATGGAAATTTGAACTCCACGGTAAATTAAACCAGACAGAGAGGTGTTGAGGAGAAGTTAATTCTAAAGACAAAGTAAGAAAAGCAAAAGATCCAAAGAAAGACCAGGCGCCTTCATGAAGAATGAAATACTTCATAAGCGAAAAAAAAAGGGGGCATATTCATACTATTTTATCTATTTATGCTTTGAATATAACGAAGAAAGGAGAAGCTATACATATTTGGAGGAAAAATAACAGCAGAAAAGAGAAGCAATCAGAAGTCCCAGAATTCCTGTAACCCTGTAGTAACATATTTTTCTTGCAAATATAGGAAACGGGCTTGGGTCCAGATGATAGAGGCTAGGTTTTCATAGCCCAACGTCTCAAGTTCCATTCCTATGTTATGTAACCTTGTCAAAAAAAAAAAAACATATTTCTGTAAATATCTATCGACTAAGAAATCATCTCTCCTTTTAGCCTTGGTTGGCTCGCCATAAAACAGTGCCCTGTATCAGCGATCACCCTAATGAAAAATCTGAACTTGCAAAGCAAGGTGATATCCTTCAGACCCATGGGTCTTAAAAAATCATTCTTACTTGAGGAAGACATTTCCTGACTGTAATTGACCATAAGCACCCTTACCCGACCATCATTGGGTAGTTCCCTAAGCTCTACCTGATGCTCACCCAAACCTTAGAATTGATTATATGTACGACTTCCATTGGCTTTGTGCTAAGCCCATCAAAAAATGTCTACAACATTTCATTTTTATGAGAAGCAGAAACCATTGAACAATAGACCCAAAATTATAACTACGGAAATTTACCTCCAAGACATAATCGCGGTTAATTCCACAATAATCTTAAAAGATGATTTTAGAAAGAATCAAAGAACAAAAGTTGCGTGTACTTCACAGGTCATGGTCTATTAGTGCAACAAACAATCAGCAATAATGTCACTGTTGATGAATGTTAACACTGCATGGAAAGCAGAAAAATTGTGAATGGATATGGTGGCATGCTGAAAATTAAAGTCACAAATTATACAAATAAAAGTTTAATTTATCATGTATATAAAAGGAATGAGATTAACATGATCCGTAAAGTGCTTAAGAATTGTAGAGCTACAAAAACCACACCTGTATTACCCGTAGCCATCGCCTTCTCTTGCGCAAAATTCCCAGAGCTTTCGCTGCAGCAATAACAGGAAATTCAGTTTCCCAAGCAGCCCATTCATCCAATGCTACATAAATAGCCTCCTTCTCATTTGAAACCCTTGAAACCTGATAAAAGAAATTGCTTCATTTATAAAATGCCAGAAACTGTTCTTACCAAAAGATATCATGCTCCAAAAGATAGTCACGTCCCAATTTAGGTGAGAGTAATTAAAAATACATCCAATGGATGTAGTGACAAATATTATCATGATATCTGTGACAAGATAGGCAAATAGTTCTGGAAATCAAGGATAACCAGATACTCCAATAGCAAGTAGCTTTAAATACCAGCAATGAGAAGAATTTTTATTTTATTTTTGAGAAATATCATAATCGATACATACAAATGCCAGATACGCTTTGGGAATCTAATGAATCACTATGGCATCACAAAGGCAACCATGAGAATGATTTTGTATACTTTCATCATTTCCCAATTTGTCACAATCTCATTTGCTTCTCTCAATATATGCAGGAAGGCGGTGTTGAGATTTGGTAAAAAGTGTTCACAGGCTTCCATGAATATTTGGACCCCCCCTTGGCCCATGAAATTGCATTTTTTGATCCCGTCAACCTCAACTGTACTCCATGAATATGTGGACTCCTCCCCCCCTCCCCGGTCCTTGGCAGAAGGTTGAGCAGAAGAGTAAGGAGGGCCGGAACTTCCTCCTCATTGGAATCGCATATGCTGAAAGGTCTTAGAAAAGGTCACAAGTTTTTCTACCATGGTGGTCTTTAAGAACATCACCAGATAGGCCAGGATTAACTTAAGGGCCGCCATTGAAATTTAATATAAGAACTTGTATATCTAAATTTTTTTAAATAGAATTTAATATCAAAGTGTCTTGGCTAGGTGGAATCCATTTTCACTGTTTTCTGCTCAGGTTTTTTTCTCCATGCAATAGATTACTAAAATTCCTTTCACAACTTAGCCCAGGAAATCACTATCAACTGTAATTTATCTAATGGCCATACTATTCTATGCCAAACTATCTCGAAGTATGATTGTTTCTCTCCAGCCACAGTACCCAAAGGAATGCTAAAATATGTAATCTCCATAGAACTAGGTCTAAGGCAGGGCCAATCCTTTGCCGATTTTAAAAGCCAAAAGTGACGGGTAATCCACTGGAAACCAAATAAACTCAGCCGATGGTTCCATTGGGAAACTTAAAATAAATAAATGGTGCTTCTGGGAATAACAGTGCTTCTATTCATGAAGATCTATCATTAACACCTTCAATACGAAAAGTCGAGAGGGGTGGCGCAACAACTGGTATCTAGTCTGAAGGGTTAGGGTTCTGTTTTTGGGGGTAACCTTTCGATGGGTTGAAAAGATCGGCAGCAGGTGGAGAAGCAGTAGACCAAGAGACCCGGATGCGGAAATAAGCTCTGTCAACCTCTAGCCAGATGGAAGGGGGGATGAGACGGGGGTCCAGAACTTCCAAAAGTAGCCTGATAGAACCAAGGGGAAGAGTTTCCAGAGATTTCCAGTTGATCTCAATCAACTTGCTGCAGGCTTCGGCCACTCTTTTGAAGGTGATAGGGGACCAAGCATGTAGGGGGAAGGAGGATAGGGTAACCTAGATTCTCTGCTTCCTGAAGGCCCCTTCAGTGGATAACCATTTGTGGAGAGATAGGGTTGTGCCTCTTAATCTGAGCAAAGCGCTAGATTGGAGAGCACAATTCTCCTGTTCCCAAAGTGCCTTCATCTAAGGGAGGTAGATTTTGGAAGGCGTCCTTGTGGCGCATGAATGTTTACATTCCAGGCACCTGGCCAAGAAACCTGGTCTAATCTTCAAGATTGACCGGGAAAAGGCCTACGACCACGTTGACTGGTCGTTATTGGAAGAAACTATGGCAAGAATGGGTTTTGGGGGTGCGTTGGAAGAACTGGATGAGGGGGTGCTATTCTAACCCCTACTTTTCTGTCCTCATCAACAAAGCCCCTAAAGGTTTCTTCCCATCCTCCAGGGGCCTCCGGCCCCCTTCCTCTTCGCAATTTCAGCAGAGATCTTCAGTCAATACACTTCTAAAATGTATCAGGCTGGTCTTCTCTCTGGTTTCAAAAGTAGTCCTTGAGGCCCTGTGGTCTCCCCCACCTCCAGTACGCCGACAATATGTTGGTCTTCTTAGATGCTGCCCCTAACGAAATTGAGAACCTTCGCATTTTCCTGAAATGCTTTAAATATGGCACAGGGTTTAAAGCCAACATGGAAAAATCTATCATGATAGGGGTGGCCCTTACCCAAGCTGAAACTAGAGCCCTTATCCCTGAATGGGAGTGTAAAGTCGACAACCTGCTCACCTCTTACCTGGGCATGCCACTGGGGTTAGGGAAACCCAAAAAGAGGCAATGGTCCCACATCATAAAGTGGACCGTCACCTAGCAGGGTGGAAAGGAAGATACCACTCCTTCGTGGGTACAAATACTCTCATTAAAGCCACCCTGGCCAACACTCCGGTGTACAATATGTCCCTCTGCCATATGCCTGTGTCTGTTGCTAGTCAGCTGGACAGCTAATGAGGAACTTCATGTGGTCTGGGGAAGCAGAATCGAAGAAATTTCACCTTATAGCTAGGATAAAGTCTGCCAACCGAAGCACCTTGGTGAGCTTGGAATTCCCTTACTCAAAAAACAAAACTCAGCCCTGCTTGGAAAATGGTGGTGGCGATTGGTGACTCAAACCAACTTGTTATGGACAGAAGTGCATTGCAAGTACAGAACATCTTTCGATCGCTGGCTCCCGGAGACCGATACCCCCAGCAGACCTTCAGGGACCTGGAAGTCCTTTCTTTCCTCCCTCCCTGGTTTTAGAAATGGTATCAGATTTCATGCTAGGGAAGGCCACAGGGTCCTCTTCTGGTCCGACCTATGGTTTGGCCTTACACCCTTGAGGGATCAGTTCCCTTCTTTGTTCAACTTAGCCACCAACGCCTCCTCCTCGGTTGCTGAAGAGATGATACTCTCAGCCAACAAAAGGATTTGGAACCGAACCTTTAGACGAGCTTTAACTGAGACCGAACTTGAGGACTTTCTCTCTATCTTCCCTCTTGCACTCCTCTTTTCTTGCTGTTTTTAGCCTCGATAACCTAGTCTGGACCCCTTCCCCCTCTGGAACTTTCACGGTAACTTCCTACTATAGGAAACTGTTGGAACCTCCCACCTTTCCTCATTCCCCACCCTCAGTGACTTCTAAAGTATACCTTTCCCGAATCATTGTGTAATGTGCCTTTACGAGGAGGTGTCTAACCCACACCTCTCCATCCACTATAACTTTGCACTTGAACTTTGGGGCAGGATTCTTTGCCACTTCGGCCTGACCTGAGTTACCCCGGCCTCCATCCCATATCTGTTTAAACTTTATGTGGACATCCCCTGGCCCAAGGCAGGTAGAACCTTATGGTGGGCCTCAGTGGCAGCAACCATTTGGGGCATTTGGACCGAGAGGAATTCTTGGATCTTCCAGGGCACTAAGTGCGACAACTCAGCTCTCTTCCACAAGATCATCTCCCAAGTCATTTTCTGGGCTACCCACCGCAAGGAATTTCACGGGGTCGCGACCACGACCCTCCTACCCCGATGGAATGATATCATTATGCTCCGCCCCCCTCGACCCTCTCCTGCTTCAAACTGGGTCCCTCCAATGGACGGCATGATAAAACTAAACTTCGACGGTTGCTCTCTCAGCAACCTCGGACCTACTGGAGTTGGGGGGGTCTCTAGAGATCACCTAGGCAATATCTTGGCTTCCTTTTCAGAGAGCATAGGCCACGCTGACTCCAAATACTCCGAATCTTTGGCCCTCCTCACTGGTCTAAAATTGTTCAACCACGACTGAGGCCACTACCTCTTGCTAAAAGGAGATGCCCTTAACGTTATTTCTTGGGGTGTTGGTCACGCGGCTCCACCTTGGTACCTTGCCTCAATTTTTTATGAGGTTAGACACATATGCAGGGACATTAACGTCTCCTGGACACACATTTGGTTAACGTCTAACTCCTATGCGGACCAGTTGGCCAAGGGGGGAGCACTTTTGAACACTTGACAGTATGGGAAGCTTCACCCTACTCTTGGTGCCCCTGTGGCTCTCTACTTTCTCCTTTTTGTACATTTTGTGATGGCCAGATTTATTATGCCCCACATAATTTTTGTACAGGGCCCTTCTGTAGGGTAGCCTATTTTTTGTCGAGGGACCCGACCTGTGGGTCACCTTGAAGGTCTGATGTATTTTTCCTATCTTCAATACAACCATTCCTCTTCAAAAAAAAAAATCAAAACCATTAGGGTAGCTTGTAATCATGAGTTTCAGGATGGCTTGAAGTGCATTAAAGTGGTTCACACTTTATGCGAGATAGACTACTTGATGGATATTAGTCAACCGTACGTTTCCACTTTAACAACAACTGTAGATGGGTTTGCTACACCATTAACGCATGGTAGGCATAATAACTCAGCAAACAAACACTCAATCCATTTCATATTCATTCTGTTACTTTAGAACTCACAAAGCTAGGGTTATTTGGGTTTTCCTCTTTGATTATCCTATACAATGTTCAAAAACACCACGGAAGCCACCGAGGTGAGCACCCATAAACAACCTTTGCGTATTTGTCTCACATCTAACACTTGGAGGACATTTCTTCTTTTTCTTCTTTTTATATAATAGAGAGAAAATATGAGTCCGTGAGAAATGGGGGCCTCACATCGAACATTTGGAGGTCATCTTCTTCTTTTTCTTCTTCTTATATAATAGAGAGAAAATATGAGTCCGTGTGTGTTTGTGTATGTATGTGACTGACTGTGTGTGAGACAGAGGCCTCATATCAAACAATTGGAGGGCACGTTCTTTTTCCTCGTCTTCTTATACCTAGAGAGAGAGCACATAGGCTTGTGAGCAAGGTTTCAAAAATGCTAAGCGGCCCCTAGGTGGCCTGCCTGGAGCCCAGCACCTAGGCGGGAGCTCAGAACCTCGGGCGCCCCGTCGTTTTAGAAAAACGAAAAAACGCCTAGCCGCCCGCCCAAGTACAGCTGTGTAGGGGCCGCCTGGGTCTAGGCGGGCGGATTTTTGGTCCAGGCCGCCTAGGCAGGCGCCGGGCAGATTGTTTTTTAAAACAATGGTTGTGAGCAAGAGAGAAGGGCCTTGAGCTCTTAACCATTTTTATAAGCCTTAACTTCTTTTTTTCAATTATTTTTTAAGGGTGTTTATGCTTCTTCTTTTTTTGGGAACATAGGCATTGGGGAGCTAGATTTGCCCCACAAAACTCTTTCGCCCCCACCACTGGGTAAAATTACTTTTTTGCCTTTCGCTGAGGTGACCTACTAGGCAGCGCCTTGGAGCAAGTATGCCAAGTGCGCCACCTAGGCGAAACCATTTGGCCTCCCAGTTGCCTAGGTGGCCAGGAGGCTGAATTTTCAAACAATGATTTTATAACAGGTTACACTGAAAGATGAAAGAAGGCCATAAACCAACCAGGATCTGACGGTTGCCAAAAACCCTTGATAAGCATGCACAAAAACATGCTCACAGATTGTGAACAACGAGCACTACAGGTCAAAACCCTTGTATAGGATAAGTAGCCACATGGGAAACTGCCCCATCATTATTCCCATAAGAGAAGATATATCACAGTGGCACAAAGGTTCCTAAGATATACAGACTCTGAAAAGTCTTAAGCCTCATGTGACATCAATGGGAACAGAGAAAACCTAGAACCAGCCATGCCATTTAAGAACTTTATCCCTTGGATTAAAAAGAAAACCCATGAATCATCCAAAGCTTGGGCAGGATGAAAAGCACCTAAAGATGGTTTTTGTGCAAAGAAGACCCTTCAGAAGATGGGCATCATCATCTTCAGTCCATGACTCCACTATGTTTTCTTGGTGCAGTGTGCCTCAAGGGCATTGAATACGGACCAAGAATTTAATGTCATGATCCATCCATACAATGCAGAAAGGGAGACAAGTTGATAAGGACGAAAAAGAAAGCAGATAGTCAATGACCATGAATACTGCTATCACATTTTTCATAACTGTCTTCCTCTTTTTCTTCTTTAGAAAAAAAAAAGTAACCCTTGATCCACCAATGACTTCTTAACCTGACAAAGTACAATTTCTGATAGGACACCTTTTATCTATTTATAATATGTCTGGTATAGGCTTAGATGATCTTGTGTAACAATCCTATTTGATGAAAGAACATGATGTTGGTTTTCCCAATTCCTAGGACAACTTCAATATAAACCACAGTTTCTGGGAATTCTGCTTTCACATGATTTGTAGGAATATTCAATGCATTCAGCCGCATGCTGCATGCAGACACTAATGATTTCAATTACATTCCCACGAAGCAACCATAACCTTCTAAACATTTTATATTCAATCTGATTCTGATGACAACTTGGCCCTACAATGACAGATAAAACCCACCATGACTGTGCCTGCCCCAACTGATCTCCATATTAAGTTCAAAACCTAAAGCATCATATCAGAAGAGGCAAATTCTTACATCCATTCAAACAAGACAAGTGTTGCAGGCCTGAAACTTACGAAAATAACTTACAATTCGCACTAGATTGAGAGCCTTTTGGCTAGACCCAGCTGAATCTCTCTTCATCCAGAGGTGGTGTTCTTTCTTGAATAACTTCTTTGGCTTCCTAGCAAGTAATGGTAACAATCACGAATATAGTGAAAATTTTGGATGCAATAGCTCCTCTCATATCCAAGCAACTGCCCCAAAGAAAGGTATCACTATCAAGAATAAATGGAAATCATGCCCACTTTTAGTAAATATGTCACAAATCATTTGTATGAAAATAAGTTCCAAACAGGTAAAAAATTCTGTTCCAGGACTGTTCCAAATAAGAATGATGATCAAATCAGGGGAAAGTAGAAACAGCACTGTACATTAATGTTCTTAAATTTGTGTCATAGACCTGCTCATTTTGGCTGGAGAAGAGAAGCACTTCAATGCCTCAGCCAATTCAGGGAGGACTTCAGTCTTTTCTTTAATTACAAAGTATTATAAAAATTAAGAAAAGAATAAAATAAAGAAATAACCAAAAAAAAAAAGACAAACCACCCACAATTTTGCGCTGTGCCTTAAAGCTGTAACACCCCTACTAAAAGGTACTGGCTAAACCATGCAATATCTAACCCCTACAAATAAGATAAAATTGACATGTTCTGTGCTTATCAAAATTCAAATATAAATGATAAATAACAGAATCCAAAATCTTTTAGATTTGAATTCTTATTTACAAGGCTTCTAAAATGATTATATATATGTCATCCTGAAAAATCTCCAGCCAACCTGTTAATATTCTAAATTTTAAAATCCCAAAGTAACAATCAATTCGTTAAAACTCAAAACTCATATTTACAAAGCTTCTAAAATGATTATATATATATATATATATATATATATATATATAG